ATATATGAAACTGTAAAAAGGAAACCAACAATTTTAAAGAAAAGGGAGATACAAAATATGAGTGCTTTCAAATTTGGATAACATACATGCATTTCAATACTAATTTCAGGTTATTATGGATATTTAAAAGCATTTGATGTGAGATCATGTAAGAAAAGACTGTGAAATAATAAACTGGTGTAGTTAATTCCTTTTTTTTTCTCCTTTAAGAGTGCATTGATATTCATCTTCACCCATTTATTAGCAAAATATGCAACATGCTGATTTGATAGTTCTCATTTTACTGTTTTAAAGGACAAGATGTTTAAGTAGTTTATACAGATTAAAAATTCGAGTCTGCCTTCCCGCCTTTTTTAAATATAAAAAAAGCCTTTCAGCTGTTGCTGAAAAAAGGATGTGCTGGAAGAAATGGTGGAGAGCAAAAAGCGTATGTACTCTGCAGCAGGAGTGAGCAGTGCTGCTCGTGGGCACAGTCTGGCACTCTGCAGTTTGTGCACTTGTACACACAAAGTGTTAGGGTCACATCTCTGCTCTCCAAACTTTGGATAATGATAAAAACCATGGATATTTGCCCAATGTTTTAATCACGTCCTAATGAAATTAGGTACACATGTGAACATTTTGATGTGTAGTTAGAACCCATCACATCCTAATGCAGTATGCAAAGGTTTTTCCTATATTCACAAGGTGAAATAAATAGCAAGAATTGTTAGGTGCACATGTAGCAGTTTTTAGCTGTGGGTACCTGTGCTCTCTTTCCACGACAGCACTGGCTGATGGTCTCAGCACTTTCATGCTCCTTATTTTTGCTGCCTTCCTTATGCTGGTGCAAGAATATGCTTGGCAGCTGACCCAGCTGAGACGTTGCTCAGCAATAAATATAACAGTCTGTGCTGACGTGAGAGGGGATTATGTGGTGCCAAGAAGAGTAACTGAGGACAGGGGAAGGTGAGGTCTGCAGGACTTCGTGAAGCAGCAGTTCTGGCTTGTGCTGGCTTACTGAGAGCTTTGGGAAACTTGGAAAGCCAAGTAAGACAAATAAAGTAATGGTTTAAAACAGAATCAGAAATTCTCCAGAGGGTGGATTGGAACCATTGATTTTCCTGCCTGTGTCATGTTCACTGAGCTAAACTTGTGGGAAATTACACAAACAACAGTAATATTCCATCAATAGGTGGACTTACTAATTTAATTGCACTTTGATCACAGAGCAGACTTTCTCATATTTAAGTAGCGATCTGACATTTGGCCTTCTTGGATTGTTTTTTTTTTTTTGTATGTGTGTGCAGATGTTCAATTTCTCTTGTTTTAAATAAAACAGAAATTTTTCTGTTTGCAGATATGAATTGGTGTTTACATTGACATAGCCTGTCTCATACCGAAGATGTGTGTTTGTGTGAATGTATATGCGTGTAATCTGGTGTAGGAGATGTAGAGAAAATAGTTTTAAGAACTGCAGTAATGTTAGTTTCTCAGTCTAGGTTTTGTGTTTTCTTTATTTGGAGGAAGAGGACATCCTGTCTCTGGAATGAAGGCACGGTAGGCCTAGAACCCAGTGTGAATGAAAAGCAAAGCCATCATGCAGCTGAACAAAACCCTTTACATGTGGTGTTTTTTATAAACCTTATTTCAAGTTTGTTTTAACACAGTTAATTTTTTTTTTAATCAGTTCAACCTTAAATCATAGTATTCTGATTTGAAGAAGTCTTAAAATTTTGATGCCAAGTTCCATAAAACTTTGCATAAGTTGCTCCTGAACTTTTAAAAATGTGAAATTAAAATTGAAGTACTACTGCTTTAAATGTATTAAGCCGTACATGAACTGACAATCCTAGAGAAATCTTATCTTCATGCAGACTGACAAATGAGTTATTTCTGCCTGCCCTTTCCTTCCTCTTTGGAGGCAATAATGGAAGGATATCCAAGTAATCTAACCACATGAACAAGCATTGCAGCATGGCTAATGCAAAGGGAGCTATTGCTAATGTAAACTAAAAGTCAGTTCCAAAATTTGCTGGTACAATTGCTGGTGGGGCTTGGATTCAAGAGGGTCACATACTTACACTTAGGAGAGAGGGCAGGAAGAAGTAAAACATGCAGAATATGATACTGGCTGTTAAAAACTAATGGCTCTAGTGCTGGTTCCTGCCAGCAGGATGGTTCAGGACATGGAAGTGAGGTGGCAAACACTGTGGAGTTTGTGGCAGGTCTGCCAGCTTTACGAACTCTTCAAGCCCTCAGCGGCGGGGGGAAGGTGGAATCCGTGAGCTGTAGCAGCAGCAGATACAGGGCAGTCACAAGGTTTTCATGCCGTGCTGCCAAATAACGTGTGTGTAATCATACACCATTGTATTAGGTTCCTGGGTAAAGCTGTTTCCCTTGAGTTAGCCGAGGGTGCAGTTCCATGATTTATGTAAGATGATCCAGGACAGCACTGCTGTGAAAAAAAAAAAAAAAAAAGCCGGTCCTGCTTGGTGCTTTAATCAAGTTTTGCAGTGCTCCCTGCCCCCAGCCCTCCTCCTCGGTTTGTACTGATCCTTTTTCACTTTTCTGGGTATGTATTTCCGAGCCAGTTTTACCTGGATCAGTGGTGTGACTGCCAGTGCACCTTCATGACTCTTTATACCTTGTCTCAAGTTAGCATTAGGGTAGCTTAATCCAGTGGTAAAACTGCTTCCTTGGATATGGATTTTGTAGAAATACTTGCACGCACTGACTGAAAATAGAGACTGGGCTAAAATAGGAGCTCTGTACTCTAAAGAAATTTTTGAGGTCGTTTTTTTTGGTACTTGTTCTTCTGAGGTTTAAAATTTTCCTCTGAACTTTTTTTTTTTTTTTTTTAACTCCCTGGTAGTCGTTTGCCTTCTATTGTTGGAATGA